ACTCAGTAGCACATACGTGATTGACTATGGTATAGTTATCGCGAGCCCCCAACTGTGTGCAAGGAAACATCACACCATGGAAAGCAACATTATCCTAAGTTTGACTAGGTAGGTAGAATAAGACGCGAATTTTCAGACGTACCTTTCCCAGGAAATTAAACAGTTCTACTTCTTCGGGATTCTTCCACCATTTCTCCCAATTATCACCTAGTAAGCATTTGGTGATGGACAAATATCCAATCGGGGCATCAAACCACACATAAAAGACCTAAAAACAACACTTTGCTACTTCCGATTCGAAAGAATGGTGACGTACTTTGTTTTCATAGCCTGCTAAAGGGACTGCCGTGCCCCACTTCAGATCACGAGTGATACAACGCTTTTCAAGTCCACCCTAAAAGGATGAGGTTAGACAAATGCGAAGAAGAAAGAGAGAAGTAACATAAGGGAAACCAAAAACGGAGTAGGTACAAACGAAAGTGCGTACCTTGATCCATCCCTTTACTATTGCTATGGCATTTGGTGACCATCGCGTATCAGGTTTGGCAATTTCCTTTTCGACATACTGCCGGACTTCATCCTAAACGGTAACAATCAAGTGCCAACTTGACAGTAAGCATTTCTTCAGCATAAGAAACAGAGATAACAAGTAAAAGTCCACAAAAACCTTACCTGGAGAGCATCCAGATGCAAGAAGATGTGGGTAGACTGTCGAACCTAAAGCAAAAGATCAGAAATCATTGGTAACCATGCAAACTACCTTTGGTTCCTCTTTGCAAATATGACATTTAGGACTCTTCAGTTCGACAGCATTGATAAGACGTCCGCAGGCATCACACTGATCACCACGAGCGTCATCGAAGCCACAGAATGGACAGATGCCAGTCACAAAACGATCAGCCAAAAATCTGCAAAGTCAATACTAATTGTTATAAGGCACCAGAGTAAAAGAGCTTATGAATTCAGGGAACTACTTTTCCACTATTTATAAGTATCAGAAAGAGTTACTGAAATTTTTTGAGGGTATCGAGAACAAATGAAAAATGATTAGAAAAGCCAAGAGAGAACTTACTTATCACATTTTTGGCAATGCAGTTGATCGATCGATAATGAGGAGGTGAAGCCATTCTTGTGAAGTTTCAGGAATATATCCTGGGCAATCCTGCAGAAAAATGACAATATTGAAGGGGGGAAAGGAAACCGTAGGAAAAATATTTATGCAAGGAATTACCATGACTTCTGCCTAACGGCTATCAGCTATAAAAATTGAGAGGAGTTAACTCAAACAAACAAAATAAAAAGATTGAAATGCATAGACGATCTAAAGCATACATATGATAAGGCAAATTGAAAACCAACTCTGTTTGCTGTGGTGTGGTAGTTCGTCCAAATTTATCGAATTCTATGTTGAACCACTCGTAGATGCTTTTATGAATGACATGAAACTTGTCACAGATCTCTTTAGGAGTCACACCTTCTTGCAGGGCCTGAAATACCGTTGTTTAATAATATAGACTTGGAGATTCACCTCGTACTTTTGTTTCAGTAGCAGTGCCATACTCGTCAGTCCCACAGATGTAGAGGGTTTCATAGCCACGCAACCGACAATACCTGAAGTGCCGTGATCAAGGATCCTTTAGAAAGACTATGATGATCTAACTAGCCTAGCAAAAACGTCCGCGCTCAACACACATCCGATGATGTTGCCCAAGTGTGGTACATTATTGACATACGGAAGAGCAGATGTGATCAATATATTCCGCTTTCCTTTGACTGGTACAATCCTAAAGAAAATATTTGAACTTATACTGAAGTTAGATAAATAATTCAAACTCAGAACAAAATTAAAACTCGTTCTGGTAAAAAACGTAAGAAACAATCGAAAGTTCTCAAAAACAAGGAAAAAACTTACTTCTCTTTGGGTGTCGGTTTCAAGACTGTTGGACTAGCCTCCCATGCTTTCAATACCTCGGCAGCACTTAGCGCCGGCATTTACCTGGATTGACAAAAAAATAATAGAAGGGAAAGATGATCGGAAATGATGCAATGAGAAAGCGTGCAAATTTCTCGATATAAAAACACTAATGAGCACTTCTCTTTCACGAAACTACACATAAAGCTAGATAAAAACCTAAGATAATGAATGGTGATAGCATTTTTCCTTGACAGCTCTTCACAACTGAGAACACTCAAAAAATTGAGAACACCGCAGTGTTGGAACAAATTTTCACCGACTAGCACAAATTCGCCGTAGAGCGCGTAATATCGAGAAACAAAAAGCATTGGTGTAAAAAGCCACGGAGTTCCGACAAAATCGTATCTCTCATCTTGTGATTGAAAGACACGAACGCTTTGCAAAAGCTGTCTAAAGAATCTCGAGCTTGTTCTTTCCTGTTTTCAAGTAGCAAACAACTTTAGATTATCCTAAAATCACATATATAAGTCCTCCCATCAGATAAGTCCGCTTATTTTGACTCAGATAAAAACCTTCAGATAAGTCCGCCTACA